AAAAAAGAATGCCACCTCATCAGTATTCTATATTGAGCTCCAAAAAGCTATAGCTAGGAAGACTTTCCTTGGATATGTATGAATACACCAAATTCCAGCTAGCATGAAAAATGGTTGCCATAGCACTTAGCCCCCCTCCTTCTTTCTCTATCAAGCAGATCTCTATTCAGTTTTGGTTTTAGCATCATGTTGCTCAAATCCTGGGAAATCTCAGTATAAAATTGGCAAACAAAAAAAAAGCCAATATTTGCAGATAGTTTGAGCTACAACAGTTCATTTAGTAACTGTTCAAAGTTACAATGGCACTGAAAAAAGTGACTAATGACTTGTTTTTCATACTTATGACCATTGTAGCATCCCCATGGTCACATTAACAAAATTCAGAGGCTTGACAAGTGATTGATATTTATGATAGTTGCAGTGTCCTGGAATCGTGATCGTTTTTGTGACCTGACAAAGTCAATGCAGAAACTCAACTCAACAGCCATATCATTAACCTTACAACTTCAGTGATCCATTTAACAACTGTAGCAAGAAATGTCATAAAATGGGGTAAAATTCATTTATTAACTGTCTTGCTTAGTGTTAGTATATGTGCAGAGTAACCTTTGTATAAAAAGGATATGCACACAGAAAACGGTTTATGAAAACAGTTATGAAGAAATATACAGCCACACAGAGTTGAACAAGTTGTATTAATGTTTACTTGAAGAAATAGCACAGTCCAATAAACAGTCCATGTCATACACGTTTTTAACAGTCCAGAAATATCCAGTTATAAAGTCTTCTTACATCTAGTTATAAAGTCTTCTTACTGTTCCATGTCTTTTACAGCAGACAAATATCAAACCATAATACAACAAATAACCTTCGATATCAACAGAATATCAAAATAAACAGGGTTAGTCAGTATCGGTCTGTAATCAGTCAATATCAGTATCAAGAGAGATCATCAGTGAAAAAGAGAAAGAGAATTAAACCATGATCTATAGCTCCCTCTTTATGGCAACTTGTAGCATAATTAACCAACCAGAACACGGCATAATACATTACAGTATTTTTCCTTAAAGCTACAAACATATATATTTGTAGTTTATATATTGTCAACCCAACTACGTTATTTAGATATACATAACATTTAGCAACAGAAATTTTGGGCTTGTATATCAAGGACTGTATTGATACTTTCTTTTTTTTTTTTTAAAGCAAACTTAGGGTCTGAAACACCCCGCAAAACAAGTGTTGGCAAAAGCTGTGTTAAATCTGGGGCTCATCTTCATTTGTTCCTGAACTTCCCCCATATTTCCAAGGGCTGTGAGCTCATGAAATTAAGTTATTGTATGCTTGAGTGGTTAGCCAGCTCTGTGTTTCTATTTTTATGCTGCAAGTGATAAATTAGGAGATAACCTTTTTTAGTTCATTCAGGACCTAACAGGGCTGTTTGACCTGAGCATAGAGCAGTGTGTCTCAACCTTGGCAACTTTACTACATCTAGACTTCAACTCCCAGTAGGGCTGGCTGGGGAATTCTGGGGGTTGAAGTCCAGATGTCTTCAAGTCAAGGTTGAGAAACACTGGCATAGAGTATTGTGCAGTATGTTGCATAGTCATGTTTGAGAGATTTCCTCCAAGAGTTTCATATGCTTTCAATCATTCAACAGGAGCTATATGCCTATTGTATAATTGTTCCTAGAAACATGAATTATATTGCAGCATTGAATACAACCATGCACAGGTTCTGTCTCAAATGATACTTGGCCACTGGCAACATAATTAAATTAAATAAACTGTTGATTTAACATCAAAGGAACTCAGCATACATTATGTTCATAAGACATCCTGAGTTCTAGTGTCAAGCACTTACGTTCTGGTACAACACCAATGAAGTGACAGCTTGCAAGAAGCCACAGTATGTTGATTCGCCTCCTATAATGTATGTGCTAATTACCTTTTGCATGGGCTCACCTGGCCAATATAAAGCAACCACTATGCTTTAAAAACAAGCAAACAAATGCAATACACAGTGGCCCAGATGAAATTGGATCCATGTCTGGTCTGCACTCTTTCTAAAATTTCAACATCTTTTTTATATTGTGGTGACCAAAACTGGATGCAATATTCCAAGTGTGGTCTTACCAAGGCATTATAAGGTGGTATTAACACTTCACGTGATCTTGATTCTACCTCTCTATTAATGCAGCCTACGATTTGTTGGCTTTTTTTTTTTTTTTGGCAGCTGCAACATACTGCTGCATTTAAGTGATTGTCCATTAGGATTCCAAGAGCCATCTCACAGTTACAACTGTTGAGCCAGGGATTGACTATTCTGTACATCTGCATTTGGTTTTCCTTGCCTAAATGTAAAACCTTACTTTTCTCTACACTGAATTTCATTTTGTTAGATAGGGCCCAGGGTTCAAGTCTTTCAAGATCCTTCTTGTATCTTGAGCCTATCTTCTGGAGCGTTGGCTATTCCTGCCAGCTTGGTGTCATCTGCTAATTTGATGAGTTCCCCTTCTATCCCCTCCTCTAAGTCATTATAACACAGTTTTACCCATTTTTGATTCTCGCATAGCTTTTTTCATCCTGTTCCAGCAGTCTTTCCTTAAATGATATCCAAGCCAGTCTATTCATTATTTTTTTTACAACAAAAGTAACATTTCTTATATTTTTCTGAGTCTTTCTCTGAATACAGTAATCTATTTATTAGCTTCACTCTTTATGGGAGTTCATTCACATAGAGGCTTCACAATGCTTTGCTATTGTCCCAGAGTAAAGAGGAGATAATATCAGCCTAAACTGTGCTATCTCCGTAGCATGGAATAGGTCCATACTGTAGTGTCATCAGTATAACTCCTCCATGAAACACTGTAAGATTAGCAATTGGCCTTTTTTTGTGGGTGAAATTCAAATGTCAGTAACCATGGGAATAGCAGTCAGTAATCTCCATATACAATGTCTGTTGGATGGTACCACAGAGAATAAAGAGGATGGCCTTGAGAGAAAGAAGAAGCGTATAGATTAGGTCTGGCACATATAGAAAGCATGCACAAACATCTCAGAGAGACACCTTCCTAATTCATATGGTTATAAAAGCAGAGTGGTGAGAGCACAATCAGACTGACAAGCTCACGTCACTATAGTTAATCTAAATAAAAGTAGCGTTTAGCCTCCTGTGGAGTTTATTCCTGCTCTGGTCTCATCCAAGAGCTAACAGGTAATACGTACTGGTCCAATACTTTTTCTATTTTCTCCAAAGGACTCTCACTTGATCAACTTAACACTAAAAGGCAGCAAAAGATTTGTGTCTCTTAATTTCAGCATTGTGGTCATCTGGATGTATGCTGCAGGTGTTCTTGCAAGTTTGAGACTTGTGGACTTCCACTTCCAAGGTGGGGTTGATTGAGGAATTCTGGGAGTTAAATTAAGAAAGGGTTTGTGATGGAAGTATTCGTCTGTCAGGCACAGCAACACAATTTATCCAAACTGGTTATAGATCTGTCAACCAGTTGGCTTATCAACTTATCTACCACTCAGTGGCACTAAAGAGTCAGAGTTTTTTTTCCTTACAGGTAGCCCTTGATTTACCATCTTAAATGAGATCAGAACTTCTGTCACTGTGATGCAGTCTTTAAATGAGTGACACTGCATTTATGACCTTGTTTTTACCACAATCTTTAAGTGAATCACCATAGTTGTTAAGTGAGTCAAGCAGTTGTTAAGCAGATTTGCATCCCTCATTGACCTATCTTGCCAGAGGCCTCCTGAGAAGTTCATAAATGATGATCATGTGACCAGAGGATGCCGCAAGTGCCCCAAATTGTGATTATGTGACTGTAGGGATGCTGCAATGGATATAAGGGTGAGGACCAATCATAAGTTACTGTTTCCAGCACCATTATAAGTTCAAATGGTTATGAG